AGGGGAGTCCCCATTACCTGTAAAGCGCTTTGAGTGGAGTGTCCAGAAAAGCACTATATAAGTGTAAGCAAGTATTATTATTATTATTATTATTATGCAAACTGATTATCAGTTGAGGCTTGCCAGTATTTGAGAGGAAATTAAACATTCAAAAGAACTAACACAACAGGCTTTTACTAGTGATTTGGACATTAAATAGTTTTTTAGAAACAGTTATGGAAACCTAACCTGAATTGAAACGTGAGTACATGCTCAGAAAATAAGTTATCCAGCTCCAGGAAAGCTACCAGACAATTGTGTGCTTTTATATGACAAAACTGTAAAGTAAACAAGATAGTAAACTCCAATGAAAGGGCTCAATATTTATTTTTCTTTTCATTGGGTGCCACTTGAGTGCACTGAAGCATGTTGTAAGGCAACAGTTTACATCTTTGCATTGACTTTTACCTTATATTTGTAACAGGTTTTGTGTGACAAGTGGTCCTTGTTTCTGTGCAATGTGTAGGCATAAAACTACAAGTTCAAATTGTAGTATTAGAGATAGGCCAGTGTGTTTTAGATGTGTGGTGACATTGTGAGCCAAGATTTGTTTTTTTCTTGCAGGCCATCCCTTGGGCCCTCGGAGGGTGAGCTCATGGCCGGTTCACTGCCCACCAGACTTGGGTCGTCTGCTGGAGGAAGCTCTGACAAGGATCAGACAGAGCTCACGAGGGGCCATGGCGCCCGTGGCCTGTGTGCAGGCCCTGAGGGCAGCAGCAACTCTGTCCTTCACCCAGGGCATGGAGATGGAGAAGGCACTGATGGCCACCCTATTTAACTCTGGCCAGGCCCGTGCACTGCAGTACCTCCATTTTGCCCAGAGAGCTGTGGGGAAATGGAGCATGCCCAGTGGAGCATGCTGGCACAACACCAAGCCCAGACCTTTCCACAAGGCAGGTGTCATAGGTAGGTGAGAAAACATTCACTGCACATAAAACCTGTGGGATCTTATTTTCTAGTGAGATTGTGTTTCCTGAAATCAGAGGACCGTGCTGTTTTTTTATTGAGTCATGATGCACACCTAGGATACCAGGTATTTATGTTGAATAACTGTAATGACCCAATCAAGCACTTTAAAAAAAAGAAGTGTTAAGTCTAGTCATATTCTCCTTTTATATGCTCCCCCCAAAAGGAATCCATACAGGCAAACATGCATGACATTTAAAAGAATATATCTATTATTTTTATAGTATACCCACCCAATTTGGAATCTCTAGCTGTGTCTTTACATCTTGTGAATAAACTCTGTAGCAACGTGAGAATAATGAGACAGTGCAGACAAGCTCCTTTGAGCCACCCACCAATTGAGCTATTCAGCTTTTGAGAATTACAAGCTCAACAGTGACTGATTGGACTCACCTCAATGATGTTATCATAACTAACCTGTAGGCACCCAGGAAATCATAGTGGTAATACTTTAACCTGAAGAAAAGAGCCCGGACTAATACTAACCTAGTTCATTAAAGGACCATTGAAACGTGGGAAATCCATAATACGTTGAGCTATTGACATTATCAAGGACTTAAATGTGCAACATTTAAGTCCTCAAGCGATTGGGGATGC